TATATATATATAGAGAGAGAGAGAGAGAGAGAGAAAGAATCTGTTTATTCTAGGAGTAAGTCTACATAGAATTATTCCATTTAATAACTCATGTTCTACATCAAATTTTAACAATCTAACCGTTGAATTTAAAGTTCTTAATGCATAGATTAAGTCTGCAAATTTTTAAAAAATTTAAAAATCATTTGATACTTCAGTTCATTAATTCAAATTGACGGATGATCATAAAATTATTTTATACATTGATTTGAATTAATGAAACGAAATATCAAATGATTTTTAAATTTTTTTAAAATTTGTAAATTTGATCTATGCATTGAAAATTTTAAATTTAACAGTTAAATTATTAAAATTTAATGTAAAATATGAAATATTAAATAGAATAAATTTAAATAGACTTAATTCTAAAATAAACAGATCATTCTCTCTCTCATATACATACATACATATATATATATATATATATATATATATTTTATATATCGAAGATTATTTTTGTTCATAAATTATTAGATAGAATAACTTGTCACTTGTCATAACTTATTCTTATTGAACTCTTATATCTTATATTTTATAGCTGCCAAACGAGTCCAAAATCCCAAAAGTAAAACAGCTATGGGTATTATCATTTGTTTGATAAGGTCAGATTATTAAAAAAAAAAAGTAGTTTAATATATTTCCTTTAATTTATTGATATTCAAAGTGATTAAAATAACATGAGGTTGATTCATCTTTTTCCAAAGACATATTTTCATTTATGTGTACTTTTTAGTATTTTCTCCTTCGATTTTTTTAATTAGTTATCTAACTATTTCATTAATTTTTCAATAATCTTATTTGATTTTATTTGTATGCGAATGTAACTAAAAAAAAAAATTCTAGGTAAAATAGCGATGTCAGTTTTGCAACAAAAAATTGACAACAAAGTGAAAGTATGTGCGGGTTAGTGATAATTTTATGGCAACAAATGAGTATTTTGTAAAAAAACTAAAACAAGCGGGCACTAATATATTTATGTGGATTAGTGTTAATTTTAAGACAACAAAGGAGTATTTCGTAGAAAAAAAAAACTAAAACACTCGTGCACTAATAATATTTGTTTCACAAATATGGACATGATATGATATATTTCTAAACTGAAAAGTATATAGTAGCACCTTTTTGGCCATTGAATATATATATATATATATAGAGTTGTCTTTGGAAGTGATGAAAGCTTTGATGGTTGATGTTAGACTGGAAAATGATACTGGAGTTGAACTAGCAAAAAAGCAGGGGTGTGGGGACGAATAAAGATCCTCTTATCTCTCTTCCATTTCTACATTTTGGGGGTGTATAAAAGATATTAGATATTTATATAAAATATTTATATCGTTTATACACTCAAAAAAGTATGATAATGAGAAGAAAAAAAATTATAATAAGAAATGAAAACTATAATAATGAAAAAAATGGATAATAAAAGATGAGGAGAATCCAAATTTGTGGAGACACAATAAAATGAAAAGAATTATTGTCTCCTTCTCGAATACAATTTCTTTTACACTCTTTATTGTGGTTAAAATTTATTAAAAATACTACATTTATGATTTATTTAGATAAATTTTTTCAGAAATATTTTTAGAGAAAAAAATAGAAGAAAAATGAAACAAAAATTTCTATAAACAAAAATTAACTTATCCACAAGCTAATATGATTTTTTTTTGTTTGAAAAAACTATGTGAGAAAGTTTATACGAGTTAGTTTAAACATAAACTAATTTTAGGTTATAGAAAAGTTTTTTTCATTTTTTTTCTTTTAAAAGCTCTTTTAGAAAAGTTTATTAAAACATACTTTTAATTAGTTAAATTTCTTATTTAACGAGTTCTATTTTTTAAATAAAAATAATAATAGATTGTTTCTAAGAAGATAATAAAAAGTGTTGGGCTATTATTTCTTTTTCATAAACAAAATATTATCCGATACAATTTTTATACAATTTTTTTTTCAAGTGTTTAAGGCCATGTTTTATTTACTTGCCGTTTTTAACCTATTGTATAGTAAATTCAATGTAGTGATATGTTTCGTTTTCTTAAAAGTATATTTACACACTTGTATTTGTTTTGAAACCAATTTTCAATGGAAAACAATGTCAAAGTTGCTTTTACAAACTAAATTTAGAACATTAAATCTATTCAAATTTACGATTGTTAACTTTAATCTAAACATGCATTTGGATTTTAATCAGAATAAATTTTACTTTAATAATACACTTGAGTTTTACCAAAAATAAACTCAAATATTGATATGAAAACAACACCAGACAAAACCAAGCAACTCTTCCACGCCACTCATTGTCTCACCTGCTGGCTCAAGGTGTGTGGTTATAAATAATCTCTACCTCTCTGTTCTCTGACTTCTCTTTGTTCTCAATGTCTCTGTCTATCTATCTCTAACGTGACAGAAAACATAAAATGAAATAATACAACTGAACTTGTAATTAATCACAAAAGATTTTACCATTATTTTCAAAACAGACTTCTTTTGTACAATATGTTTCCCAACTCACTAGACATTTCCCATTTGTTTTGTCCCTACCGTACACATAAATACAACATTTAATTACAAGAAAGTACGTACGTACGTACTGTGGGATTTTGATGATTTGGTTTTGGTTTGCTATCAAATTTTGGGATATGGTTGGCGAGGAACCTCATAAGAGGAAACGTTCACCTTCCAAGAACATTCTGTAGAATACTACTAAGTAGATAAAATCCAACACCAAGAACCTAAATTTGAGCCCGTGGTATTTTGTCACATTTATAGATTTGATATCTTACCCTGATTTTCGTTTGGTGGATAATTAATCCCTTCAGATATACTACATGCGTGCTAATGCCCATCTTCCTTCATTCCTATAGTTTGCAGTGCATTTCACTCTATATCTTGGGAACAGTTAAACCCAAAATCATGAATACCAAAGTCCTGACAGTCCAATAACCAAGCACAATTATCTTCCCAAGATGGCATCAAACCCATGTTACTATTAGTATTCTCTACTTTAGGTGTTGTGTCCCATAATGCTTCCACCAGAGGAGTTTCATCCAGCCACAAAGTGTCTATTAGAGAGTCGTCACTGCAAATGCTATCCAGCAAAAGTGAATCATCCCCAGAAGAATTTTCAGCTTGGGATGAACTTGAATTCTCCTCTGAATTGAGAACCCCATCAGTTTCCTTGGCCTGATCAAGGCTATTATTGCCAGGTTGTGGCACATGCTCCAAAGGGGAGGATGAGCTATCCTGAGATGTTGCTTGTTTATTGAGAGGTTCATGAGTAACTGGATCAATACCCATTTTAAGGAGTTTTTTCTTGATATGGGTGTTCCAATGATTTTTAACCTCATTATCTGTTCTTCCGGGTAACCTAGCAGCAATCTTGGACCACCTGAGACACCAACCAAACCATGTATCAGAATCTATTGGCGTATGTTACGTCCCAGCATTTACACATAAGATTGATGTGGATGTCTTTCTTGGTCGTAAAGACATGTACCAATCATATCCAACATGTAATTGCTTTAGGTAGTACTAATATCTTCAACTAAATTATCATTATTTATCTTGTAACTAACGATAATTTTTATTATTCTTCAACAATGAATATCAGTTCCAATGATGTGGAGTAACTTTTTAGCTTGAAAATAAATTACGCAGGTCAATGATGTTTTGCTTTCAAATTTATACATACCATGTGGTATTTGCTCATCCGAATAATTCACATATATAGCACGCAAAGTAAATAAGAGACGAGAATTTGAGAACACCGAAAGATGTTATGTTACTAACTACTATCTTGAAATTTATAAATGAGTAAACCAAGCAAGTATTCAATTGCTTCAGCCTTAAGTAACCTTTGTTTAAAACATGGTTTTAAATGAGTCACCTTCTTCAACATTATTAATGGTTTAGAATTGAAGTCACAGTACGTAGTTAATGACTAGGCGCCTTGTAGTGTAATTTTGGAAAGCCAAACTAACGAGCAAGGATAACAATTCTTGTGAATAGAATACGTTGTCTAGGCACTGCCAGTTATAAGACCAAGATGTATTAAAATAATAAATAAGGCAACACAATCCTTGATAAAATTATTTTAATATTATGTTGAGCTTGATGATACTTATAAAACTGTGGTCATGTAAGAAATGTTGACAATGCATGCAGGTGAGGTTGTGAAGAATAAAGAACCTGTTGCCAAGACGAGCATGAAGATCAATAACAAGTTGCTCCTCAGCTTGTGTGAGGAGCCCTCTCTTCAAGTCAGGCCGAAGATAATTAGTCCAACGAAGGCGACAACTCTTGCCACATCGCCTAAGGCCAGCAAGCTTTGGCACAGCTCTCCAACAGCACTGGCCATTGGTGAGAATGAAGTTTATGAGCTTCTTATCTTCCTCGGCAGTCCATGGCCCTTTCTTCACCCCAAGTTTGTCACAGCAAGGTTGCCTCCCCATAGCACTAACAAACACAAACAACACCACTAGCTAGCAATTTGCCAAACTAATGCAAAAGTCTTACCAACACTAGCTTGTAATGAGTAATGACCCAAAAGCCCTACACCCCACCCACCTTTATATAAAGCCCTCTCCTTTTCTTTCCTAAATAATTAATTACATATATGTACAATAAATAAAATCATGCATTGAGTACGAAAATTATTTCATCTTAACTAATAGTCTTGAATTCAAATTTCAAATACATTTAAAATTCAAATCTCAAATATATTTAAATACTTAAAAAGAGAATTTTATCATACATAATAGTTATATCTGACTTAAAAATAATTATTTTGATAAAAGATATTTGTGATCTAAAAAAAAAATCATGGACCAAGAGAAAATTAAGAAAATAAAATGGGGGATCTAAGGAGGCAAGGATAAACAGGAGATGGTTGGGGGCTCCACCATGGGTTGTGAAAGGTACGTGGGAACTAACATGAGGTTTTTAGCTGCACAAAATGGGTGACGCTGAAAGATGGGTGACCCAAAGGCAGAACTATATGTAAGCATCCCAAAGAAGTATAAAAATAATGTGTAAAATAATTATACTCTTTTAAAATTTTCCATGACAAAATACAAATCCACTGCCCTGATTTCATTCTTACTCAACCATTTCGTCATCACGTTTACGTGTCCCATATCAGCAGGTGAAACAACACCTATGTGTCCTTAATTCAATGAGACATTCCTGATATACAAAGAATGGACAACGATCTCTGGAGATTCCAAAGCCACAAATTTGTTTTTCCCCTTTTTTCAACCTTGCAGATTATAACTCCCACCACACTTGTCCATGGAACTGGCTATCATTAATGCAAACTGTGGAAATTTACTGAGACAAACGGATATACGTAACCAAATGTTGAAGCAGTCCAATTAGCCACGACTTGAGCGTATTTGGAAGGATGAGTATAGGAACTCGAGAATAAATGGTTAAGATTAATTTTACTAGTCAGACCTACGAAGAGGATAGATCATGCAAATATGTTAAAAGGGATTGATATTGACATCTCAATGAGAAAGCATCGATGTATTTGGGTAATATTCAGTGGCAGCATATGCCAGTTGAAGCAAGATGGAATTTTTTTCCCAGTAAAATCTTAAATGGACCAATTGATTAATTTTCTGCTGTATCAACTCTTATTTTCTTATCAGATAGAGTTCGGGTCAACCACTTGCATGTGCCTAGTCTATTTTTACTTCATATAATAAGTAGTACGTGCCTAGAGACTAATGTCATATATATTTGGGAGAAAATATCAAATGTGATTGTGAACAGAGGAAGAATGTAATAAATACGTTCCTTTGTCCAAACTGAACCGCAGAAGAGCAAAGCCTAAGCAGATATGGTCAAGAAAATCCCTCTCAACCCTGGCAAACTCTTTATGACTATAATTGATTCTCTAAAACACATATAATTATGCAAAAGCTCATAAATTATTTTATATATCTAACATATTTGACATATATACGACCGTTAATTATTATTAAATATGGAGTGGATTTTATTTATATTCAACATATTATTTTAACAAGGTAGATATGATTAGCTGGATAGACATAAAATTCGACCACGATCTTAGTTTGGTATGTTTGACACGGACTGAACATGAACTTGCTGATTTTAATTAACACGACTATGCTGGTTGTGTTCGTCTACCTACGCCTAATTATTTCTGGATCGTTATATTCTCAGATCAGTTTCGTCCCAGATTGGTTGATTGATTAAGCATTCGAATACGTTCCTTTTTTATATATATATGCACCAGTCCAGAGTGCTTTCATACCATTAAAGGAAAGGAGTAACATAGCTACTCGCAAACAAGTAATTGTTGGCAAAATTATATACCAAGAAGGCCAACATCACGATCATGCACCAAGGAGAAAAATGGTCAATATCTTGCACTGCGCTAAACCCTAGTCAAGAGATATTTTACATATACTTGGTGTAATCGACCTGTAAGCACTATATCACTGAAAACCTGAATATGATCATTGTTTTTAAAAATACTTACAATATCTCCGATATAAGTAACTCATTTGAGTTGTGAGTTGCTTTATGCATTGAAAAATAAAAAAAGTGGTCCTTAGTGTGTCATATCAGCATTAAACAACTCAAATACAAATTTACTCCAATAGTAAGAAACTTTAAGAAATTCAACTTTTGGAATTTTTTTCTAATCATTTATGAACCAAATTTAAATTTTTATTAAAAAATATAATTACACTATAATAAAAGAAAATAAATTACCAAAAAAAATACACAATAAATAGATATTAAAAATAAAATAAAGTAATAGTAAATACATAAAACATTATACGAAATTAATTTTCATTATTATTATTTATAAAACGTTCTCAAATATGTTCAATAAGAAACGGTTACTTCAAGAAACAACTCTCTCTCTTCTTTAAACAACTCATGTTACCACGTCAGAGTCCTTCAATAATAAGAAATCGGACTTGAGTTGTTTCGATCCAAAATTTTATTTCAATCCAAAATTTTATTTTAATAAAAATTAAACATGTACTATTTGAATCAATCACATGATAATAATCATAATATATACGACATTTCATTTTCATAAATCTGATGATGAGAGACTTTAAGTATAACGTTTAACTAGATCACGCATACGGCACAGGTAGGGACTAGGGTCTAGGGAGCAGTTACCAACCCAAAATTCGGTCTCTTGACTTGTAGGCCTTTAGTATTTGTGAGCATGCATGGACCCCTTTTCCCTGTCTAAGCTTCACAGTCACACTTTATTGCTTATGTATGCAATATTATAAACAAAAATGCATTCTTATCATCATACAAATACTGATACAAAAGTATAAAGTCAAATTTGCCAACCTTTTGAGTTTGACCAACAATGATTTCTTTGTAATTCTTTTATTTAACCATATTAAAATAACTGTACTACGCCTAATTTAATCAAGGCACTTCATCATACTACAATTAATAAAAATAAAAATAAAAACTCATTCGAGCAATTCAATCGTACCTTATTCAAATATCCAATTTGGAGCCCTACGTGTCCAAAAACGTATTGAGATAGTGCCATATTGACTTGCAAGGCACGACACTGGTGAGATATCAACTTATTGCTTCGTGATATGTAAGAGCCATACATGTATGTTGAAGAAGGCAAATAGGATAATGAAACTTCAATTAATCACTGTTGTGTATGTTAAGTTATTTCATACTTCATTGTGTATGTGTTGCCCTCATGATCCGCAAACATACCTTGAGCTGATCAAATCGTGAAAAGAGTAGTTCCTTACTTTAAACAAATAAAATTAGCCAGAAAGTTAAGATAACATCAATTACACGGATATCTTGAAGAGCTTAATAACGTAATTATAAAAAATAAACAAGAAAATAAAACTATCATAATAAAATTATTCCACTAATTAAACTATTTATTATTATTTTTAGAACAAAAACTTAGGTATGAATCATTTCATATGTATCCCAATTCTAAAGATATAAGATGATGAATTTATATTAAAGATTGGTCCTGTGGATGTGGAAGTCTCAACGCTGTCAGAAGTAAACCTTTAAACATCATCACTTTAATTAGTCCCCTAAAGTTTAGCAAACCAATTACTGTATAAACAAAATTTTGAATATAGGTGTCCTGTCGCATGTTGCTGAGAGTCTGAGACCGCTTCATGTCATTCACACCATCCAAAAAGGATAGTTCATGAAAGTAGTAGAATCAATTAAGAAGCAATTACCATATGTCAGAAGCTTTTTGTGTTATTTGGAAATTCGCAAATATATATAGGTCCGACGAGGCTAGTTTCTAAGCTGATTTGATTTTCCTATAAACGAGGAGCATTCCAATAATTAATAGTGCTTGGTAGTGGCTCACAACCTACTAAGCACATTGTATGGTCATTAATTCTAGCGTATCATTTCGATAACAAGAGAATAATGATTAACGTGATTATCTTATCAAAGAATTTTCATGTTATATATTAAAGCTTACATATGAAAGTAATTAGTACATCAATTTGAGAAGATAAATGCGTAATTAGTGAGTAATGCAATCGTCATTGAGAGAAACACTACGCAATACTATTTGGTGGTCACGTGGACATAAAAGACTGAGGTGACTAATTAAAAGTTATTAAACCACTAGTGTGTGTGTTAGTGTGCAACCTCATCAGTCCTGTGTCCTGTGCAACCCTGAGAAGTTTTCTACGGTTTCTTTCAACTCATTTCGATTAGAGTTGTGACCAAAAATTCCACATATTCAACAGCGTAATTGGTGGTCGTCTGAAGCATTTCATGCCACAATGAATTTTGTAGCTCAAGTATGGCTTAATTATCAACATATGGGGGGAAATTTAAGGATAAGTTCAATGTAAACTAATTCACCCCGCATCAAATCAGGTCATTAGTAGGATTTGAGAGTCTTTTCTGTCTACACTTGGACTTCGGTGGTAGCAGACAGCATTCCATTAAAGATTTCAAAATTCATCATAAGTTCTCTATGTTTTTTTTTCAACCACAAATATTCTTCATTCTTTGGTGGAAAAATGTTCCTATTTGAGTGACCAGCAGTGAAGCTATAATAAGTAACAAGTTTTTATATAAATATTTAATGCAATTATTTATACAAAACTTAAATTAATATCACTGATTAAGTTAAAACAACTTTATATTTATGCATTTAATGATTGACATAAGTTGATTACATGAAAATAATAAATTATATATTGGGCAAGTTTGTTTAAAAAAAAAAAAAGTTTTTAGAAAATGTAATTAACTTTTTAAAAAATAGAAAACTGTTTTTTTAAATGATTTAGAAAGAAACATTAAAAATATATTTACAAAAATAATTATTCTATTTTTTCACAAAAAAAAGAGAAAAAATTAAATAAATGGATCCATTAGCATTGAAAAAAAAAAAAAAAACTAATGTATATGTTTGCATTTATTATCCTTAAGTTTGATCACTGTCATTGTTGTTATAACTTTTTACTAATAGAAATATATATTTTTTGTTTATTAGTGAACGGTTAGTATAAACATT